ATGACAAATTTAAACTTAAAATGCAAGTGAAAATTAGTAGTGTTGCCTTGGCAGCTTAATGAAATAAAATGTTTAAGTATTAAAATTACTAAAATAAATGAATAAAAAATGAACGCTCAATAGAAATATAAAAAAATAAGCCAATAAAAATTACTAAAGCACATAACAAAATAACTACAATTAAATAAAATAAACATTCATATTAATTCTTATTCATATTAATAAATTAATATTATATAAACAATACTAAAATAAGTAGAGTAACCACAGCTGTGGTTCATTATATTAAATATCAACATGTTCCACTAAGGACAAACAAACAAAAAGTCACTCAGTACTGTGTATAAAGTGTGCAAATACATTTTGGAGTAGTAGAAATTGGCATTTTAAAATGTTGAGTAGAATGATAAACCTACAGTATATACAACTGCTTGAAAAAAAGACTATAAAAATGCATCTTTTATTGTCTATATTTCGTATCTAAAAAGTTCTCAATGAGAAAATTGTTAAAATTGCATTGCATTTAATGCAGTATTTATAATGTTATATAAATGCATGATATTGTAGAATATTAATAGTTTATAGTTATAACTTTTATGATCCTGTTGAGCATGGAATGTCTGAGCTCTTTATTACTCTATTCATTTTACACGGTTTTATCATTTCAAGCCAAGCAAATGTCTTTTTGTGAAATGTTTTGCTTGGCAAGTGTACTTTTGCTTTTTATTCCAAATAAATGCCACTTCAGTCATTCAGTTACTTGTGTGTATAAAGTGTGCAAATACATTTTGGAGTAGTAGAAATTGGCATTTTAAAATGTTGAGTAGAATGGTAAACCTACAGTATATACAACTGCTTGAAAAAAAGACTATAAAAATGCATCTTTTGTTGTCTATATTTCGCATCTAAAAAGTTCTCAATGAGAAAATTGTTAAAATTGCATTTAATGCAGTATTTATAATGTTATATAAATGCATGATATTGTAGAATATTAATAGTAACTTTTATGATCCTGTTGAGCATGGAATGTCTGAGCTCTTTATTAGTTGAGTGTTTGTGTGTTGTTGCAGCTGACTCAGATCACCAGAACCGGTCAGAGCTCCTGGGAGAGTAAGAATATCCTGGCGGTGTCATTTGCTCCTCTTGTTCCGCAGAGCAGGACAGATGGCTGCAAGCCTGAAGCTGTGGTGCTCCGTGAGTCTCCGCCTCTTTTATGACCTCACACTGTCCTGGCCAATCAGCTGCTGCTAGGGACAATGTTACAGACTGATTTATTGCCGATTCCATTACTAACCCGATTCATTCAGAACAGTAAACAACACTACAGGCCAAGCCTGTAATAGTTTTTTTTCCTTTTCTTTTTCCATGCACTGGTTAGTCTTGAGATTTTGGGCTATTTTGCTTCCATGACCTGTCTTCTCTCAGACTAGTGGATAGAAAACATCCAAAGTACAGATTATAAAGAGTTTATTTTATTACACTTTATCTATTTGCACCTGTAGATTTCAGTTACCATAGACGTCTTTAAAGGCAGTTTTCTTAAAATTAGTTTTTTTTTCCATCAGTAATGCCTGCATACACTCTTAAAAATAAAGGTGCTTAAAAGGTTCTTCACAGTGATGCCATAGAAGAACCATTTTTGGTTCCATAAGAAACCATTCAGTCAAAGAACCATCTCTTTCTTACCTTTTTATAATCTGAAGAACCTTCTTTCGCCACAAAGAACATTTTGTGAAACAGAAAGGTTCTTCAGATGCTAAACGTTCTTTATGGAACCATTTAGACAAAAAAGGTTCTTCTATGGCATCGTGAAGCACATTTTATTTCTAAAAACATTGTGAAACTTATTATTATGATTATTTTCGCTGTTGTTGACCGATGCCCATAGCGCAACGGCGCTGTGTGTCGGCTATCGGCACCAACATTAAATGGATTTTATGGATTTTTTTACGTTGGGAATGTAGGAATTTGCAGTGGGAAGTTGTTTTTAACTGCCCAGTTTTATTTATTTATTTACATATTGATTGATTGATTGATTGATTGATTGATTGAGTTGGGACTACATAAATCATTTTTGTTGCATCGAGTAAACATTTGAAATTAACATTTTACATATTGAGTAAACAGTTTTGCATATTTAAGTAGGTTGGACATAGTAATGTTTAATTAAATAATGTTTAAATAAAACAAATTATTAGTTTGTTTCTCAAGAAGATACTATTTCAGTCTGTCTACTTCAAAATTTAATTTTTCAAAACAACATACGCTGTTTGCGTTCAGTGGATACTCTCCAAAATGGCGGTAGGGTGACACAGAGGAGATGAATTGTTGAATAAAGTCGTTCTTTTTTTTTCTTTTGCGCATAAAAAGTATTCTCGTAGCTTCGTAATATTACGGTTGAACCCCTGATGTCACATGGATTATTTTACCGATCTCCTAAGGGTTAGTTCACCCAAATGAAAATTCTGTCATTAATTACTCACCCCCACGTCGTTCAAAACCCGTAAGACCTCCGTTCATCTTCGGAACACAAATTAAGATATTTTTGATGGACTCTGACAGCTCTCTGACCCTCCACAGACAGCAAGGGTACTACCACGATCAACGATACTCTCCAAAATGGCGCTACAGGGTGACGCGGAGAAGACTGTTGAATAAAGTCGTTCTTTTTTTTTCTTTTGCGCATAAAAAGTATTCTCGTAGCTTCCTAATATTACGGTTGAACCCCTGATGTCACATGGATTATTTTACCGATCTCCTTGCTACGTTTCTGGACATTGATCGTGGTAGTACCCTTGCTGTCTATGGGAGGGTCAGAGAGCTGTCAGAATGCATCAAAAATATCTTAATGTGTGTTCCGAAGATGAACGGAGGTCTTGCGGGTTTGGAACGACATGAGGGTGAGTAATTAATGACAGCATTTTCGTTTTGGGGTGAACGATCCCTTTAAACTCTTTGTAATTATTTAACAAGCGACAGAAATATTTTTTTATTACGGTGTGGCTTTATCCAGTATTTAGATTTCTATTCTGGGAATATATGCAAATCTGCGCATATTTAATTAGATTCGGCCTCATTTGCATATTTAAACATAACATTTCAAAACGGTTGTCTTAATGTACTGCGAACAATCAGCTTGCGCAGTGTAGTGATACAGATTCGTTTTTACTCTATTGACCTGTGGTGTCTTGCCTTCATGTTTACGCTGATTAGTTGTGCACACAAATGAGATTTGAGAGAAGCCTGTAGCCGTGAACCTGTATTATTCCTCCATCCCTCAGCGCCGCTGTCCGTGAGGAGTCTTCAGGACCTGGCGCGAATCTACATTCGCCGGACCCTCCGCAACCTGACCAATGAGGAGCACCCGGCTCGCAACAACACGCAGCGGTCGTCCCAGAAGCGCAAACGCAGGCGCTGCCGCCGCCGCCGCCGCATCAACACCTACGTGTTCGTGGGCAACCAGCTGATTCCCCAGCCCATGGACAGCGAGGAGGACGAATGCATCGAGGAGGAGAGCAAAGAGGAGGAGCAGGAGAAAGACATTGAGCCCGTCAAACCCGAGGAGCCGCGGGTCAACCATCTGAGAGACAAAATCTCGAGTCTGCCACTGCCCGAGTCGCTGAAGGCGTACCTGCTGTACTACCGCGAGAAATAACGTGCCGGCCCGTAGAAGCATTCATCAGCGGTGGTGGTCTCCCCTTTCCTTCTCAGACTACTCAATTTCATCGTTTTTTTTGGATAACGTAGCATAATTGAAAGATTTAAACCGGGTTGGGCTGCGTTCGCCAGAGACGCCGGATTTGATTGTGCTTGCTGTGTTTGTTCTAATGACTTATAACGTTGTAATATTCACATTTCGAATGTGATTTTTCACTTCAGAGGGTTTCGAAGCTTCTAGCTCCCCTTGTTTGTATTGAGAAGATGTGAAGGAAGCTCTTTTTCACAGGCTTGTATTGTAAGACCTGCTGTTTGATGAAACCAGTAATGACCGTTTTCTTTCTTAGTTTAATTATAGGGCGAATGAAAATTCGAGTCATTATTTTGGGATTGATTTTTGCCGCCTTTGATTCTCCGAAGCTTTCGGGAGTTTTCGCTGTTTGTGATGCTAATGCTTTCGGTATTTCTTTCTAGAGATGGTTGTTTTTTTGGCCCGTGTTTTGCATTTCTGTATTTTTCTAGTCACATTTGTAAGTACTGATATTGAGCTGTCACTTAATAGATGATGTAATTTTTTTGATTTGTTCCTTTCTCTCGTCTTCGAGTCGATCTGAACACCTAACGCTCCACTGTTCCGCTTGTGATCATAAAATGTAAGAGACGTCACTGTTCGTGTCGGTTTGTAATCGGTGATTTCTCACTGTCGTAACAACTTGTTCGCAATATATTGTCAGCATAAGAAAACTGTGGCTTAATTGCAGTTCTTCAGTTGATTGTAGAGGATTTTGTCACGCTGAAATGAAATCTAATAGAATTTGCATCCGTCATGTTTGTCACATTTCCCAAAAATACACACAGATTTAGACATTGGAAAAAGACCCAAAGTATGTTTAATATGTTCAGTAGATATTGTGTCGTTTAAATTCATCTGAAAATTCATTAAAAAAAGTCATCATAAAAATTAGATTCTGTTGTTTTAGTACTGCCCTGATGATGCTATGTAGCATAACATATATTATGATATATACAGTACTAAATAACTTTATATAAATTATTCTGTTGAAAGGTTCTTAATATTGTGTGTCGCCTCTGTTACTGTTCATTCAAGGTCTTTTGTGATGGTTGTGCATCTCTGGTTTGTCCCACAAAAGTCCTCCAGATCCATTTGAGTTCTTCCTCCCAGTGGCTATAGTATGCTGAGATCCAATTTTACTCCGGCACTGACAAAACCATCAGAAAAGATTGAAAACAGTCATTGATGCTTGAGGAAACCACACAATATCACGAACCACACATGATATCAAGAACTAAGCATGTAAACTTTTCAACAGGATCTTTTGTGTAATTAAAATAACTTTGTGTCGTGAAATATATGTACATATCTATTGTGCAGCTTTTTTAGGGCAGTACTAAATATATTAAAAAAAATTCCATTGTAAGATTTTATCTGAATACTGACTTTTATTTTAGTTTATTCCTAAAATAACTCTATTATGCCACAGCTATGAACCACAAATTGATAAGCTGATGATTTTTTTTTCCTGAATGAGGAAGACTGTAAATTTACATGTGCTAAAACTAATTTGATCTTTTTTTTTTATTCTTTTTTTTTTAGAAGTACGCTAGCACACAGACATGGAATTTTATTTTATTTTATTTTATGGGGACTTTAAGCACCTTAAGTCATTGCCTATCTATGAAATGATGGTGAGAGGGAAACTAGAATGTAAAGATAAAAACCAAAATGATTTTTCATATTTGGTCTTACATGTTAAGGTACAGTATCTCTAATAGATCTACACCAGCACAGTCTAGAAACAATGCTTTCATCTTTTTAAACAGTATTGCACCAGCTTTGAATTCAAAGTGACTTCAAAACTCATAAAAGAGAGAGGTTCGTGTGTTTTGTTATTGAGACAGCGGGATGGCACATTTACGTGTACAATTGTATTAAACAAACTTTAATAGGTTACTACCCTCCTGAAAACAAAGACCGTTTATGACTATTTTCAGTCAATCATGAAAATGCTCAACGCGTTTGAGATATTGAGAGAAGAAACAACAGGCCATGCAGATTCTACATGAGTGGATCTTGTAATCATTTTCATTATTTTTCATATTGCTTATTGACAGTAAACCGGACGGTTTCGCAAGATAAGAGCAATTTGTCCGTTGCGTTTGTGATTGTTTGATTGTTTCATGAGATCTAATTCCACAGCATGATGTCCTACAGACGCTCCCTGTCTTTTTCTTAAGTGTATCACTGACTGTAATTTGATGCTATGTTTCTCAACCATCTTTTCATTAAATATATTTATAGCCAACCTGTGATGTTTTTACTAAGATGGTGTTGTCAATTGCGTTTTAGTGTCATAAAAACTTCTGAAATTATAATACATGTTAAAAAAAACTATATATATATATATATAATAAAAAAGATGACAAATCACCCACAATTACTGATAACAACCTGCATAATTATTCAATTTCTGCTTTTTTTTTTTTTTAATGCAGTAATGCTTTTATGCTTGTTTCATGTCTCAACTCTTAGTGTAACATTTTATTTCTTCAGAATAAATTATAAAATGTACTAATTTATGGAAGTTGCTTTTCCTGTTGCACAATAGTGTAATGGGTGTAGAACGTGTGCATTAAACATCAGTCAAATGCCGTTATCTTTAAAACTTCGAAACAATATCACTCAACACACTTCGGCTTAGACAACAATAAAAACTCTCAGGTCACATTATAAAATCTTTATTAACTATACATCTTTATTAAAACAAACCATAGTTTGCTAAAAATAAAAGAATGCTTTTCAGCCTCTGCTTTTCCAGTCCCATCTTCATCCAAAGATATCCCAGTCTGGGGTAAATCACAAATCTCTCTTTTGCATAGACTAAACGCTCAACACCAGGACAAAAATCAGGGTTATGACAAAAATAAGATTGATTTAATGGCGCAAAAGTGCTTCTCCGTAAAACCACATTTATTATCCCATCCGTAGGGTCCTACATTAACTTTGGGGTGGCAGCATGGTGGGCAATAAATGGTTCATATTTTCTAGAATATTACAAAATTGGGGGGGAAAACACTTTGTGGACTTAGAAATGTATAAGTTCAATCAAGGTGGTAGTTGAGGAAGCTAATGTATTTTGTAGTACAGTTACATACTTCATTCAGCATGAGGAAATGACTAAAGTTGAATGTCTGAATTTAAAGCTTTGGCCATAATGCTAGATAACGCACATCTTTATCCTACATGTCAGTTCATGACACAAGCATGGTGTTAAATGACAGCATCATAACAGCAGCCTTAAATATGTACAGTTTGGAGAAATGTTGTCAACATGAAAACGTATACATAACCCACTTTACTATATATACACTACAGTTCAAAAGTTTGGGATCAGTAAGACTTGTAATGTTTTTTTAAGGAAGTCTCTTACGCTCAAGGCTGCACTTATTTGATCAAAAATACAGAAAAAAACAGTAATCTTGCAAAATGTTATTACGATATAAAATAATGGTTTCTATTTTAATATACTTTAAAATATAATTTATTTCTATGATGCAAAGCTGAATTTCCATCATCATTACTCCAGTCTTCAGTGTCACATGATCCTTCAGAAATCATTCTAATATGCTGATTTATTATCAGTGCTGGAAACTGTTGTGCTGCTGAATATTTTTTTTGGAACCTGTGATAATTTTTTTCAGGATTCTTTGATGAATAAAAAGTTAAAAAGAAGAGCATTTATTTAAAATAGAAATATTTTCTAACAATATACACTACCGTTTAAACGTTTGGGGTCAGTACATTTTTATTCTTTCTTTTTTTTTTAAAGAAATTAAAACTTATTCAGCAAGGATGTGGTAAGTTAAGAAGTGATAGCAAAGATTTATATTGTTAGAAAAGATTTACAGTGGGTACGGAAAGAATTCAGACCCCCTTAAATTTTTCACTCTTTGTTATATTGCAGCCATTTGCTAAAATCATTTAAGTTAATTTTTTTTCCTCATTAATGTACACACAGCACCCCATATTGACAGAAAAACACAGAATTGTTGACATTTATGCAGATTTATTAAAAAAGAAAATCTGAAATATCACATGGTCCTAAGTATTCAGACCCTTTGCTCAGTATTTAGTAGAAACACCCTTTTGATCTAATACAGCCATTTTAGCAAATGGCTGCAATATAACAAAGAGTGAAAAATGTAAGGGGGTCTGAATACTTTCCGTACCCACTGTATATTTTGAATAAATGCTGTTCTTTTTAACTTTTTATTCATCAAAGAATCTGAAAAAAGTATCGCAGTTTCCAAAAAAAATATTTGGCAGCACAACTGTTGCCAACATTGATAATTCTAATAATAAATCAGCATATTAGAATGATTCCTGGAGGATCATGTGACACTGAAGACTGGAGTAATGATGCTGAAAATTCAGCTTTGCATCACAGGAGTAAATTATATTTTAAAATATATTAAAATAGAAACCATTATTTTATATCGTAATAACATTTTGCACGATTACTGTTTTTTTCTGTATTTTTGATCAAATAAATGCAGCCTTGATGAGCATAAGTGACTTCTTGGAAAAAACATTACAAGTCTTACTGATCCCAAACTTCTAAACGGTAGTGTATATATACACAGTATATTCAATTGTTTTTTTGCCAATAACCTTCATATCATCAATGTTAATAGCATAAATCTATAGTATAGCAGTTACCTAAAAACGTCTAAATAATTGAACTAACAGCCCGCACAGTCTAGATGACAACAACCAAAAAATAAAGGCAATTTTTTTCCTTTGCAATAATGTGCGCTGATGAATAATGAACAGACACATTAATTTAAATGGCAACATTTTACAATAAGGTTCCATGAGTTTACCTGAATTAACAGTGAAAAATTATTCTAAAGCAATTAGTACTCTTACTAAATGTTCATTTCAACATTTACTAATTCATTATTCAAATCAAAGTTGTATCTGTTAATATTATTTAATGAACCTGAGCTGACATGAACAGTTGTTTTTTGGTTACACTATTTTAAGGTGTCCTTGTTGCAGTGTAATTATACATTTAATACTGATTAATGTTAATAAACTACATGTACTTGCTATATGGTTAGGATGAGGGTTTGGTTTAGGGTTAGTTGCGTGTAATTATGCATCTTTATATATATATATATATATATATATATATATAGTAAATATAAGGACACTAAAATATATTTGACCTTTTTTTTTATATTGATAAAAATCCATAAACACTGCAACAACTAAATTGCTCATTGTTAGTTAATGCATTAACTAATTATGGGACCTTATTGTGAGTTTTACCATTTTAATAAACTAATTGCCAAATGAATAATCGCGATTAATCGCATCCAAAATAAAAGTTTTTGTGTGTACATAATATATGTGTGTGTACTGTGTATATTTATTATGTATATATAAATACACACACATGCATGCATATATTTCAGAAAAATATGTTATGTTTATATATTAAATATATTAATAGAAATTATATTAATAGAAATATATACATGTAAATATTTTTTAAATATATGCTGTATGTGTGTCTTTATATATACATAATATATGTGTGTGTACTGTGTATATTTATTATGTATTTTGGATGCGATTAATCGCGATTAATCGTTTGACAGCACTAATTTTAAGTAAATAGGGTCTGTTTTCATTTCATGTTGACTTTATCAGGTTAAAAGAGTGACATATTTTGACTTTGCAAAAATGACCAAAGAGTTATGCACTAATATATGTATCTTAGATACTGGCAAAAAAAAATCAATCAATCACTTCATTGATTAGCAAATACGTTGTTCCCTTGAGAAAGTTCAAATGTGCATCATACAGTCACGGCATACAATTCCAGTTCATCTTCACTTACATGATTCATCCTTCAATAAAGTATCAAAATAGGAATATGAAAATAACTCCCACTTTCTCCAGTCTGTTGCTCTAGGCAGTCAGACGGGGCACAATTTTAATAGCACTGAGTTTTTCTACAGATTTCAAAACTGATGTTCAATTCAGGTGAATTAAAAACCTTCTGGACCAAAATAACAGCTTACGCATTGCCAATACTGGATGCCTATCAGACATTCAGAAGATTCGTTTTTGCGTAAATGTATATTTAAGATGGCTGGTTTTATTCTTGTTAACGATTTGAGAAAACGCAGATCAACAGAGGCTCAAGAACATGATGCACTTCATGGCAGTTTCACAACAGGTCCATTCCAATCAATAACCAGATTAAATAATATTCTAAAAGTATACGCAAGGAAGTGTTAATATCATTTGAATGCAAACAGATATACCGCAATATCAAAGGGAAAGAGTCCATTTTTCTAATGACCTGGCAACCACAGCGGAAAGATTTTCAGCTGGAAACTTAAAGGTGCTGTATGTAGGATTGACACTGAGTGGTTGAACTAGGTATTGCAGTCCAAATTCAAAATATTGGAGAGGGTTTTTTTCACCCCAGATTGACGACACCAAAAGGAACGAGCGCACTTGACGATGAATGGAATGAAATACGCTGTGTTTTCCGCCAACTGGCAACCCGGGGTGATGAAACACAATTGGGTAAACTGGCAGTGGGCGGGTTTCACAAACCAAAACAGAGACCGACATTCCGACACGGAACGCACATTTTCAAAGGAGAATAACTGACTGTAGCATTGTTTTTCAGATAAACAAGTATGTTAACTTAGCATGTTTCTTAAATATCTGCAAACATATTATGGTCTTTTTTATGCTTTAGTAGAGTCAAAAACTTACATACAGCACCTTTAATGCGAAAATCTTCTAAATTCATCCAGCTCTTCGCATAATGGCTACGTTTGAGTCTGATTCTCGTCTGGAGGATATAGCGAGGTTTTCAATGTTACGTACTTGAATTGTTTGTTTCAAAGTGGATTTCCACTCGTTCGTCAGGGCTGGTTCCTCTCATCCTACGTTTTCAAAGTCTGTAAGGAGAAGATAGGTCGCTGGAGTCTGTCAGCTGGTGTATTTGAGCTTGGATGTCTGTGACGGGGCGGTTAAGGTGGAAGTGGCCGACACCACGGGGGCCATGGCGGCTTTTCGGCTGCTCACGAACATGGGATCCAGACAAGCCACTTTGGCGGCGAAGAAAGCGTGGATGCAGTGGAGAACCGCGAAGAGGTTGGAGAACTCCAGCTCCTGGAAACATCGGGGAGAAAGGAGGAAGCCTCAAGCAGAAATCAAATCAAACTCGGCGCATGAAAGTGCTTGCATTTACAGCCTACGGGGAAAATAATCAAACAGGAAATTCATATCATCACGCTTTATTTTTATCTGCTTCCTTCAGCTATTTCTTTTGCACTGGCAAGATTATGATGTTTTGAAAAGTTTGGAGGTTACCATAAAGTGTATGATATGCTGATGATCCATACTTATTCAGAATATACCTGCCTCAGGTATATTAAAATGCTAAAGAGTGAGAAACGTCTTTCTTTTTCATAGACAGACGTTATGAAGCCAATAACAAAAGCAAAAAGAGTGAACATACCTTTGCTTCAATAAGTTTTGTGTCTTGATTCTGGAACAGGAACTTGATTTTGCTCTTGCCGTCATCTGAGGACCCTTTCAGCTGAGAGAATTTATATCTCCACAGCACTGCCTATAATGGAGGTTTCAATTATGCATATTAATAACTCTATAGACATGAAAAGTATTTCAAATTAACCCGAGAATTGTGGAAAATTACTTTTTATGTTTCAAAAATATCTGCATTGAATATTTCATACCCATTAAGCTGTTGTTTATTGCAACTTTTTTCATTCCTGCGATAATGGAATTTCTTAGCTTGTAATTATTTTGCATATTTCAGACAAACAGCACAGGCATATCTCACACAAAAAGCATCAAGACTTCTCATTTTTGTTATTTTATTCCTCATATTTTTATCTGGCTGTTTTAATGTGGACAACTTGAATTTCTGGAGCAAAATAAACATAATATGACTAGATAACTGATATCTGATGCTGAATTAGGAGAGAAAACAAGCATTTGTGTTCTCTCGTGTTCTTCCCAATGGGGTTTTAACGTAGAAATGTTACATTTATGAGTAAAAAAAGTCTGTTTAAAAATGTAGGGTCTGTAAGAATTTTGTATTTTTGAAAGACGTTTTCATGCTCACCAGGATAAAGAATTGATAAAAGTTACAGTAAAAACAGTAATATTGTGAAATATTATTACAATTTAAAATAAGTGTTTTCGATGTGAATATATAATTTATGTCTGTGATGTAAAGCTGAGTTTTGATCTTTCAGAAATCATTCTAATATGGTGATTTGCTGCTCAAGAAACATTTATTATTATTATCAATGTTGAAAACAGTTGTGCTGCTTAATAATTTTGCTTAATTTAGTTTTTACTGTCACATTTGATCAATTTAATGAGTCCTTTTTGAATAAAAACAAAACAAAATATTTTTTAAATATTAAAGTTCAAAATTTCACATGTGTTATTTGACATTGCTTTGTCATTGTTTATTAAATTTACTAGCAATTTAAGTGAAAACTGTTTCTACGCCAACTGTTTTCAGTGTAGTGTATCTTATTAACAAAAACAAAAAATAATTCAAAACTATTTTGAAATAATTAACACACCAAAACCACTTTTGGCACACTTAGAGTGTTAATGCTACACTTTGTTTGTATGAAAATATTACTTTTATTGCTTTATTTCCTTTTATTACTTTTTTATTTACTTTATTACTTTTAAATATTATTACTGTGAATATAGCCAGTGGCAGTCTGTTATTACAAACAGAGTCACAGTATCTTAATAGAGTGATAATATTACCAAACACAACAGAATATGCTTTAAACAACCACAGCAAAAACTCTATTATAACAGGCAAATGTTTACATGTGACCCTGGACCACAAAACCAGTCATAAGGGTCAATTTTTCGAAACTGAGATTTATACATCATCTGAAAGCTGAATAAATAAGCTTTCCATTGATGTATGGTTTGTTAAAATAGGACAATATTTGGAAATAGTGTCATTAAAAATGAAGAGAAGTTTCTATACATATTTGGTGTGATATAAATACAAAGCACATAGCAACAGAGTAGCTCTAAAGAATGAGAACTTAATGAGAATTTAATAACCTGTGATTATGCATTTTACTTTTACTTCAATGAAATTAAGACTGAAGGTTGCATGCTTCACCTTTGTGGCGGCATCGAAGCAGACGAAGCCCATGCTGAAATCGATGGTGAGTCCCATGAGATGACTGTCCATGATGCAAGCGTATGTTTTACACTGAAACGGGAGACACTTGGCATTGTTAATCAGACAAACTGGCAGACACAAACATCTCCTCCATCTCTTAAATGTTTAATTAGGACGATAAGTGTCGTACATAATTATTTTGGGAGAAGCGATTTTTTGGCACGAGGCACGGTCAGGGTTTTGCCGCATTAGTTTGGTTTAGTGGGACAACTTGGCAGCGATTTAATTTGTGCCACCCTTGTTTTTCATGAATGTGAAACAGTTGCAGGAAATTGTCCTGCTATCTTCTTGCTAGAATATGGAAAATAGATTTGCTTCAATGCGAAAGTACATGCTGTACTTACATACTGTATAATATTTTAAATATACATCATTGGATCCTGTACATGAATCTATGGCTATTTCTACAACTATGGCCAATTTTGATCCAGTAAGAACAAAAACTATTTTTTCATACATCAGTGTTAATTTAGAATCATTGATATACCATTATGGTTTTTGTTAATATTTTAAATTAAAATTTATTTTTATATTTCCTGTTTTCACTTTAATTTTAGTTCAAGTTTCAGTAATTCTGTTGTGTTTAAAAAATCATTAAAAAAAATGTCTATATAGTTTTTTTTATTAATTTGTATTTATTTTAGTTATTTTTGAACATGAAGTTAAATGAAATGATTATGAGAATAGAATAAGTATTTGTAACACTGTAATAAGGTTGCATTTGTTAACATTACTTAACTACATTAGTTAACATGAACTATGAAAAATTATTCTAAAACATTTATTTATTAATTTTAGTTCATATTAATTTCCACATTTATTAATACATTATTAAAATCAAAAGTTGTTTCTGTTAACATTATTTAATGGACCTGAGTTTATATATATATATAAACAAATGAATAAATGAACTGCTCATTATTAGTTCATTTTAGTTAACGCATGAACTAACATAGGTAGATAATAGGACAGTAATGTAAATTACTAATAGTAATGTAGTAATGTAATGTAATGTTTAATTAAATTTTTTATTTAATTTAATGTTTAATTTATTTCAAGTAACAATTTTTAGAAAAAAACAAAAAAACGGACATCTATGTTTTTCTAAGACTAATTTAACAACTAGCATTTTATGTTCCTAAATTCACAAAATTAAATAATATTTTGACACTTTTCTGCATCATTTTGACACAATTGCAGATCGACTGGAAATGACAAAGAAAAAGAAAATTCCGTTTACAAGTGATCATGTCTTTTATTTCACCTCAAACTCTTTACCAACACTTTTGCCCAGCTGGTAAAAAAAATACCGTACACTGACTTTTGATCAATTTTATTATCAAAATTGTTGGACAAAAAGAGTGGCAAAAAGTGTCAAATTTATGTACATCATTTTCACAAACTAAAAAATTTTCATTTCACTATCTGAAATGATTATTTTAGCTTTCAAAATAGTTAGTATTCATATTTTTATGTTTGAAAGCTTGGGTCTGGGACAAGGGTAAAACAATAAAACCTATCCATAAATAACACCTGAAAAGTACTGCATAGCAAAAAAGTGTTTAAATGAGACCTTCATATTAAAAGTTGAAATCTGTTTTGATACAAAAACAACAGCTGGCACATAAAAGTGGCTGTAGCTGAAGAAACACTCATTCAGCAGGTCGACCCAGGATTAGATTAGATTAATATCTCCAAACAAAATCTGTTTTCATAGTGCGTTTGTGAACAATGTGTTTCCTTCGAGTACTGAATAACAAATCACACTTCATCTCTTTTTGGCACAGCCTCAATCGCTCAGAGTTTGTGTTGTTCAACATTGTCTGGCAAGTGCAGTTTTATTCGCCTCGATCTGATCTCAGCTCTGCTGGGTTTGTTTATCGTGCCAAGAAGACAGTGATCTGCAGGAGCGAGCTATAGATGCTGATATTCCCTCATTTCATTTCGCTCACATTCATTTCACTTCACAGAGTTTCATTTAGTCTGTCTGAGCAACTTAATTTGAGTTAGATTACACTAACTCTGCAGACTCTGGCAGGTTCAGTACCTGTATTCGCTCCACATCAAAGAAGGTGGCCATCTGAGTGTTCTTCCCAATGGGGTTTTAACGTAGAAATGTTACATTTATGAGTAAAAAAGTCTGTTTAAAAATGTAGGGTCTGTAAGAATTTTGTATTTTTGAAAGACGTTTTTATGCTCACCAGGATAAAGAATTGATAAAAGTTACAGTAAAAACAGTAATATTGTGAAATATTATTACAATTTAAAATAAGTGTTTTCGATGTGAATATATAATTTATGTCTGTGATGTAAAGCTGAGTTTTGATCTTTCAGAAATCATTCTAATATGGTGATTTGCTGCTCAAGAAACATTTATTATTATTATCAATGTTGAAAACAGTTGTGCTGCTTAATAATTTTGCTTAATTTAGTTTTTACTGTCACATTTGATCAATTTAATGAGTCCTTTTTGAATAAAAACAAAACAAAATATTTTTTAAATATTAAAGTTCAAAATTTCACATGTGTTATTTGACATTGCTTTGTCATTGTTTATTAAATTTACTAGCAATTTAAGTGAAAACTGTTTCTACGCCAACTGTTTTCAGTGTAGTGTATCTTATTAACAAAAACTAAAAATAATTCAAAACTATTTTGAAATAATTAACACACCAAAACCACTTTTGGCACACTTAGAGTGTTAATGCTACACTTTGTTTGTATGAAAATATTACTTTTATTGCTTTATTTCCTTTTATTACTTTTTTATTTACTTTATTACTTTTAAATATTATTACTGTGAATATAGCCAGTGGCAGTCTGTTATTACAAACAGAGTCACAGTATCTTAATAGAGTGATAATATTACCAAACACAACAGAATATGCTTTAAACAACCACAGCAAAAACTCTATTATAACAGGCAAATGTTTACATGTGACCCTGGACCACAAAACCAGTCATAAGGGTCAATTTTTCGAAACTGAGATTTATACATCATCTGAAAGCTGAATAAATAAGCTTTCCATTGATGTATGGTTTGTTAAAATAGGACAATATTTGGAAATAGTGTCATTAAAAATGAAGAGAAGTTTCTATACATATTTGGTGTGATATAAATACAAAGCACATAGCAACAGAGTAGCTCTAAAGAATGAGAACTTAATGAGAATTTAATAACCTGTGATTATGCATTTTACTTTTACTTCAATGAAATTAAGACTGAAGGTTGCATGCTTCACCTTTGTGGCGGCATCGAAGCAGACGAAGCCCATGCTGAAATCGATGGTGAGTCCCATGAGATGACTGTCCATGATGCAAGCGTATGTTTTACACTGAAACGGGAGACACTTGGCATTGTTAATCAGACAAACTGGCAGACACAAACATCTCCTCCATCTCTTAAATGTTTAATTAGGACGATAAGTGTCGTACATAATTATTTTGGGAGAAGCGATTTTTTGGCACGAGGCACGGTCAGGGTTTTGCCGCATTAGTTTGGTTTAGTGGGACAACTTGGCAGCGATTTAATTTGTGCCACCCTTGTTTTTCATGAATGTGAAACAGTTGCAGGAAATTGTCCTGCTATCTTCTTGCTAGAATATGGAAAATAGATTTGCTTCAATGCGAAAGTACATGCTGTACTTACATACTGTATAATATTTTAAATATACATCATTGGATCCTGTACATGAATCTATGGCTATTTCTACAACTATGGCCAATTTTGATCCAGTAAGAACAAAAACTATTTTTTCATACATCAGTGTTAATTTAGAATCATTGATATACCATTATGGTTTTTGTTAATATTTTAAATTAAAATTTATTTTTATATTTCCTGTTTTCACTTTAATTTTAGTTCAAGTTTCAGTAATTCTGTTGTGTTTAAAAAATCATTAAAAAAAATGTCTATATAGTTTTTTTTATTAATTTGTATTTATTTTAGTTATTTTTGAACATGAAGTTAAATGAAATGATTATGAGAATAGAATAAGTATTTGTAACACTGTAATAAGGTTGCATTTGTTAACATTACTTAACTACATTAGTTAACATGAACTATGAAAAATTATTCTAAAACATTTATTTATTAATTTTAGTTCATATTAATTTCCACATTTATTAATACATTATTAAAATCAAAAGTTGTTTCTGTTAACATTATTTAATGGACCTGAGTTTATATATATATATAAACAAATGAATAAATGAACTGCTCATTATTAGTTCATTTTAGTTAACGCATGAACTAACATAGGTAGATAATAGGACAGTAATGTAAATTACTAATAGTAATGTAGTAATGTAATGTAATGTTTAATTAAATTTTTTATTTAATTTAATGTTTAATTTATTTCAAGTAACAATTTTTAGAAAAAAACAAAAAAACGGACATCTATGTTTTTCTAAGACTAATTTAACAACTAGCATTTTATGTTCCTAAATTCACAAAATTAAATAATATTTTGACACTTTTCTGCATCATTTTGACACAATTGCAGATCGACTGGAAATGACAAAGAAAAAGAAAATTCCGTTTACAAGTGATCATGTCTTTTATTTCACCTCAAACTCTTTACCAACACTTTTGCCCAGCTGGTAAAAAAAATACCGTACACTGACTTTTGATCAATTTTATTATCAAAATTGTTGGACAAAAAGAGTGGCAAAAAGTGTCAAATTTATGTACATCATTTTCACAAACTAAAAAATTTTCATTTCACTATCTGAAATGATTATTTTAGCTTTCAAAATAGTTAGTATTCATATTTTTATGTTTGAAAGCTTGGGTCTGGGACAAGGGTAAAACAATAAAACCTATCCATAAATAACACCTGAAAAGTACTGCATAGCAAAAAAGTGTTTAAATGAGACCTTCATATTAAAAGTTGAAATCTGTTTTGATACAAAAACAACAGCTGGCACATAAAAGTGGCTGTAGCTGAAGAAACACTCATTCAGCAGGTCGACCCAGGATTAGATTAGATTAATATCTCCAAACAAAATCTGTTTTCATAGTGCGTTTGTGAACAATGTGTTTCCTTCGAGTACTGAATAACAAATCACACTTCATCTCTTTTTGGCACAGCCTCAATCGCTCAGAGTTTGTGTTGTTCAACATTGTCTGGCAAGTGCAGTTTTATTCGCCTCGATCTGATCTCAGCTCTGCTGGGTTTGTTTATCATGCGAGATGTAACATCGCCGCTGATAGTCCCTCATTTCACTTACAGAGTTTGATTTAGTCTGTCTGAGCAGTTAAACTGGAGTTGGATCACACTAACTCTGCAGACTCTGGCAGGTTCAGTACCTGTATTCGCTCCACATCAAAGAAGGTGGCCATCTGAAAGGCTTTCTCCCACAGAAGCAGCTCACATTCCAGCTCCACGCTGAAGAAGATGTCCTCGCCGGAGTCTGTCTGAACGCTGAAGCAGTGCTTACGCTTGTCCACCAGCTCATTGTCCTAAAATAATGCATTGAGTTGAAATCATGTTAAAACACATAGATGTATGATTTTATGGATTGGCTCATTCTCAAAAATGTCTTTTTCATTTCAGACATATAAAATCTATATAACCTAACCAGTTATTAAAAATAAATACAATAATAAAAAATATAAATATATACATTCTTAAATTATTTGAAAATAAATTCACCTGAAAAAACGATATATATATATATATATATATATATATATATATATATACATACTTGTCAAAAATTTGGAAACATAATTTTTTTTCTGTTAATAGATTCAAGTCAATCAGCATATTAGAATGATTTCTGAAGGATCATGTGACACTGAAGACTGGAGTAATGATGCTGAAAATTCAGCTTTGTGTCAGGAATAAATTACATTATAAAATATATTCAAATAGAAATTAGTTCCCTTTCAGTCGGTCACTCTCGACGTCACATCGGATGACCGAATGAACGAGTTCAGCGCGCTCTAAGAGAGCTCTTCGTGTTGGCGGACGGCGCTTCAGCGGTGGTGGTTTCCCGTGTTGAGTGGGTTGCACACATCAGGCTGCACTACCCCCTGTTTGTGTTGCAGATGATCATCTCCCCTGTGCGCCTCAGCACACTAAAAGAGCTTTTTCCCCTAAAAGAGCAATTTCGGGTGTGTCTTTTTAAAGACGACGTTGCGTGGCAAACTTGACGTTACGTCTTTGTAAAGACGATGTGGGTCTTGCTATAGACAACGTATCAACCGGGCGTTTTTGGATGCGGTCGTTACCTAGCGCTGGGTAATGGTCACGATCACTGCCTCTCATGCCTGGGCATGAAGCACGCTGAGGTGGCTTTCGTGTGCCTCGGACCGGCTACGAGACGCCCATGCTTTGGTTCGCGTCCGAAGGATGAGCATATCAGTACGAGGTCCTGCCCTCCGGGCTGTCCCTGTTGCCCCGTGTCTTCACGTAAGTTGCGGAGGTACCCCTTGTTCCCTTGAGAGAACAGAGTATTCGCATTCTCAACTACCTCGACGAAGCAGTCTCAGGATCGGCGTGACGTCGAGAGTGACCGACTGAAAGAGAACGTCTCGGTTAAGTATGGTAACACTCGTTCCCTGAAGGAGGGATCGGCGACGTCACGTCCCGTCGCCACAGCTCCTGTACCACCGCTGAGCGGCCGGGGCACCGGCTCGGCTCCTCAGCGAAAATCTGAATATGCGCTGCATCTGCTGCCTACTTATACTCACGCTGTGATCAGCAGCAGCTGGATGCAATAATCGCATGCCAATGTACATTGGCTCGTTTAGTTTACACTCTAAGTAGATTGGTCCCTCTAAGCGAGATCCCAATTTCGTCGGTCATCCGACGTGACGTCTCCGTTCCCTCCTTCAGGGAACGAGGGTTACCATACGTAACCGAGACGTTATTTCAAATGATAATAATATTTCCCAATATTACCGTTTTTACTGTATTCTTTAAGTAAATGCAGCCTTGGTGAGCACAAGAGACTTAATTAAAACATTTAAAAATTATAATGTTTCTAAACTTTTGACAATATATAAAGTGTTAGCTGTTTAGTCTAATAATGATTTTATAGTCTATAGCTATTTATTTATTAGTTTCTTTTGATTTTTTACAAATTTTATTAAAGCATTAGTGCAATTTTTATTTTATTTTTTGTTCAGCGATTTTTTTTTTCCTGAAATGAAGCATATGCATATGGGATGTTAAATGCAAATAAGAATAACACATTGCTACTTTATTTTATTTGTATTTCATTAAGAAAAATGTTTACAAACTTTCTCTACATGCAAAAATCTAAACAAATTAAGTAATTTGCAATTTAAATAATGGGAGAAAAATTAGCTAAATTCAAAACATACTGTGAGTCAGACAAACAATATTTTTTTGAGAATGACATAATTATAAATATACAGTGGGTACGGAAAGTATTCAGACCCGCTTAAATTTTTCACTCTTTGTTATATTGCAGCTGCATTAGTGACTAAAAAAAGGGAGAATATTAAATATTTATTTTTTTGAATTTTCTTCAGTTTTATGTCTACAATTTGCAATTATGAATGGGTTTTAAATGTGAAATTAAATGGGTTTTAAATTAAATGTAATTACATTCTTATATAAAAAGTCATTCTAATTATTACTCAATAAATAACCACAGAATAAGAACCTGTCTGATATCTGATTGCATCACAGTATTAATGTGTAAGGCTTGACAGGTGAAATCCCGAAGTTCTTGAGCTCATACCTTCAGTATCTTGAACATGATCTCGTAGACGGTGAAGCTCTTCTCGGCTCTGGTCCAGTCCCAGGTGGTGACCTAGAGGAGTTCAGATGGCTGTCAGTCGTCACAGACAGTGCATTATTCAGATTAGCTCTGGGTCACTCGCTCTCACTGCGGCCCTCGAGGGATGATTCAAATGCTGCATGAAGTAAACACGAAGGAGGGAAACCCCCCTGAGATCCTGTGTACGAGAACGACTCACGCTGAGCATGGGCAGTAACCTCTAATACCCAAAGACCAGTGAAGATGGATCATGACGGAACAGAGAACTCAGGAGTGTTTTCTTCAGACTGAAATGGCTCAGAGCAGATTTTTCAAATGTCAGAATACCAGTCAAGAACTCACTGCTTGAGTAAACACATGCACACGCACACACGCACACGCACGCATACACACGCACACACGAACACACACACGCACGCACACGCATGCACGCACGCACACTGCACTGACATAGACTTTGGGTGATCATCCAAAGATCTCCTTGATGCATGGAACAAGACATAATAAAAAGGTAATATTTGGCGTTTGGAAGTAGTGCATTAACTTGGTTGAGCCAACTGGTTAACCTAGCCATTATTATCATAAATATTATTATTAATAGGATAATAATAAAACCTTATAAAAAATTATAAACAACAAAATATTTGGATACCTTCAATGAATTTAATATATGTAAATGCAATAATAATAATACTAATAATAAAAATAATAATAACCCTTTGTACTTTATGAACAAACAAAAAAGTAAATAATAAAATTGTATACAAATAATAAAAAATATTTTCATTAATGAATCAATTTAAATACATTTAATGAATTTAATAAATTAATGTAATAATAATAATAATAATAATAATAATAATAATTTATCTTTTTACTTTTTAAACACGCTTCTATTGTGTATGATTCATCAGAGCATGTAAAAAAATTTTTTACAAGAAAATAAATTATTATTATTATTATTATTATTATAAAAATAATATAAATATTACAAATAAACAAATAATTTGAATACATTTAATAAATGAATGTAATAATAATAATAATAATAAAATTATCCTTTTCTTTGTTTCTGGCCTTACTGCATGTTACTCCAAAGAAAAAAAAAGTTTTTAATAATATTACAAGAAAAACTACAGAAAATATATTCATAAATTATGAAAAATAAATCATTATAAAAAATTATAACCATGAAAAAATTGTTAATTTAATTTATAATAATTTTGGATAGATTTAAATAAATGTAATAAAACAATTCTATTTAATAATAATAGTAATACATGATTACTGTCTACACTCAAATCTTTAAATATGTTATTTTTTATGGTTCATTGATATTGCTATTTATTGTTATTTATTGCTGTTTTATTTATTGTTCATGATGTACGGTGACCCTGAGTGATTTGAAAGGCGCCTTAAATAAAATGTATTATTATTATTATTATTATTATTAATAATAATAATAATAATAATTACCATTTTACTTTCTTAACACGGTACTGGTCTAATAGTGTATGATTAATCACTGAAGTTATTGCTAAGAAAATAAAATGATGGCCTCCATAAGTAGTTCATCAAAATGAAATCTGAAATGACTTTCTTTTTCATAAAGGCCTTTCATTTTTCAACCCCTCCAACCTTGTGTCATACAGAGACCCTTTTCACGATCCACTTGACTCCCAGTTGCAAAAATCAAGTCATCCTATATTTGGTCTGCTTGAATGTCCTTTGTTACTCAGAAATAAGTAATAGGTTCTGAACAGCAACAGACATACAAAAAATATCTTTTTTGGGGGGCTAACCAGATTAACCTAAACTTGGCTTTGTGCACCTGAACTGCTTTCATGTTAAAATTTGCTTAGAAATTCAACTTTCTACCTAGTCCTTCCTGCAAGGCAGCATGTCAAGTGTTTACTGGCGCAAGCGGAGAACATCTGAGCGAGCTGAAATAACCCGAGAGAGCCTTTGGACAAACTGCTGAGTGTCATAAGTTCTCTCCAATGCAATTTTGCATCTGCGTATGCCATAATAATTCACATCCAAACTTTTGATCTTCCTCCCACTCCACCATCAAATTACGATTGATGGAAGATTGGATGAAGCTCTTTGATGTCTCGATCTCTTCAGGATCAATTAATTAAGTGGCAACATCTACAAGCACCAACTACAGCAATTCCTCATTTCATCAGGACCGTACCATCTGACGTGAAACACGGGGGGAGGCCGAGAGGTAAAAACCACCGTTATCAATGCTATCAATCTCCATATTAGGAGAGGTTTACCTTTAATGAGACAATTCTCAGATTATCATTCATGTTTCATTCTAAATCATTTCCCAGAATTATGATGAAGGTGTTTAAATTAATTGCTGATTGTGTACGGAGATTAGGCTTTATTAAATGGAGGTGTTAGAGCATCAGGTTAGGTGATTTAGCCTGCGGACGGCTGAACAGATTAATGGATTTCATAAAGTCGATAACAACTGGAGCAAATAATGTGGACGCCAACTGCTTGGGGGTGAAAATGGGCAATTCTTTAAAAAAATAATTCATCAAAAAAATTAATATTTACTCATCGTCATTCCAAACCCATACTGTATCCTGCAGTGTTATTTTAGTATTATTTACATACCATGAAAATATTTTTTCATATTTTAAATTAGTGTTTATTTTTATATTTCAGTTTTCATAATAATTTAAGTTTTTGTCATTTTGTTACATGCTTTTGTAATTTTTTGTTACATGCTTTTGTAATGTTGTGTAGTTTTTTCTTATTTATTTTAGCATTATTTGCATACTATTAAAGTATTTTTAATACTTTAAATTCGCTTTTATTTTTATATTTTCAGTTTTCATAATTTTAGTTTTTGTAATTTTGTTACATGCTTTTGTAATTTTGTGTAGTTTTTTCATATTTATTTTAGCATTCTCTGCATACGATTAAAGTATTTTTAATACATTAAATTAGCTTTTATTTTTGTATTTTCAGTTTTCATATTAATTTAAATTTGTTGTAATTTTGTTACATGCTTTTGTAATTTTTATTGTATTTTTTCATGTTTATGTTTACTATTTGTATTTCAGTAATTGAGTGATTTTAGTATTTATTTAAATAATTTAGTAATTCATTTATTTAGAAATGTACTTCAACTTCAATTAATTTTATTTTAGTTGCCATGGCAACATTTATAATTTATAATTAAAGTTTTTTAAAAGTCCAAATGTCTAATCTTTCTAATCTTTATAGTTTATTTAATTGCATCTTTATTTCAGTTAACAAAATTATTTTTAATAGATATATTTTCATGGAACATCAAAGAAGATGTTTTTAATTATTCTTTGAATTTTATATTTTTAATTTAAATTTTATAAATATTTTTAAGTTAACAATGTCCATATTTGCTCCAAATAGAACAAAAACCTATGACTCGAGTGCTATATTACAAGTCATGCAATAGATTTGTGTAAAGAAAACACTGAAATTCAAGTCTAAATCTTTTGTTTTACACTAAAAACAGCTTAAAGGTTTTAAACGAGTGAGGAAATATGTATTTTTGGGTCAAGCGTTCCTTTAACAATTCTTCAGTGCAATGAACTGCACTGAAGAAAAGTTTTAAAAAGAGTTTGATGTGCTTTCATAATTGTCACAGTTTTTTTTT